GGAAGAGCGCAGCAGAATATTATTACAGGTGCTCTTCTAGATTTCTATCAACAATTAAATATCTGAGGTTTGGCTTTGAAGCTTGTGGGGAAGAGAAGAGAGTCATAACAAGAGCCTTGGACAATTAAACAAAGTGCAGTGTGTTGTTTCTTTTTTTTTTTGAATCTTTTTTTAGTTCCGCTACCCCTCCTTACCAGCATTACTGTAAACTTTTATTTTAGCAATGTTTTTATTCTTACCTTTTATTTTAAAGGGGAAGCCTTAGAATTTCTCATTTTTATTTTTATTTTTTTTCCCTTTTTCATTGGGATTTTTGCTTTTTCCATCTATGCTCTTGGATTATTTTGGTTCCCCCCCTTTTTTTAATTGAGATTTTCTAACTGGATTAAGGTGTGAAGAACCTGAAGAAATCTTTCTTTTTCTCTGTTCTTTATTATTATTATTGGGTTTTCTCCTTCTTTTTATTTTTATTCTTTATTGTGGATTATTTCATAATTGGATTAGGGTCTGGAAGAACCTGAAGAATCTTTTCTTTTTTCTTTTTTCTCCTTTACTATTGGGCGTTTTACCATTGGATGTTTCCATTTTGGATTATAATTGGCTACCTTACTAATTGGATTAAAACTTGAAAGAATTTGAAGATTTTGAACCATTTAAAATGAGTAGGAAACTCATACCTCCGGGTGCTTCTACATCTACTTCTGCCTCCCCACCATCTGGAGGACAACATTTAATTCAGGCAATGTTAAAGCAAGACAAAGAACAAGAAAAAGTAACTTTACAGATGATTATGCAAGGAATCCAAGATCTTAAGATAAAAACAGACACCATTGAACAAAGAACAGGGAAGACTGATGAAAAAGTGGAAAATATTCACAATGGCATTACTTGTTGATGAACTGAAAATGGAATTTGAAAAGCTAAAAGAAGAGGAACAAGAAGGGAAGGGCTCTTCTGGATCTGTTTTTCATTTTTTAGAAATGGTGATTTCTACCTATCAGAAATTACAAGAACAAGAAGGTTGGGATGAAGAAGAAGCCATCTTTAATCAACAAACAACTTTAGCTGGGGAAGAAAAGGGAAAGAGGGTAAAGAGAATGGAGAATTTAAGACTTAAAAAAACAACCAAAAACGGGAAAAATAAGGTGAAAAATTGATACAATGTCAGAAAGCAACAGAAAAGAGGAATGCAGAGAGTGGAGATTAAGAGGGTGGAGATCAAGAGACAGTGGGGTAAAAAGGCTAGATTGGAGAAGAAAGGAAGGGAAAAAGGGAAGAGAAGTTACAAAGGTTTGAAACAAGATGTAAAGAAACAGGATTTATTCAGAGATAATGGGTAAAAATATGATTAAAAAAGAGATTCTGCAAAAGTACATAAGACTGTATTGTTGTATTTGTATTTGAAATAATGTTAGAAAACTGGAACATTATATGATTATAAAATGGGATAAAATATTAAAAGGAATGTGTAAAATGTTTAAGATTTAATGATAGAGTTTAATTTGCTATGTATTATTGTTTTAATTATATTATAAACTTATTATTTTCCTATTTTAAAATTTAGAATGTACTAAGCAGAATCAGAATGAAAATTATATATTATTTTAAGTGTTAAATTTAGGTGAAAGATATAAAGGCATCATACTTCAACCAGTGATTACAGGAGAAATTTTGTGTTAATGAGAAAAGATAATAGATAATTAAAATAGAACAGACAAAAGATACAAGCATAATGATTTAAATTGAGATGAAATAAATAAAATAGAATTAAGAGAGTGAAAAGAGGGGAGAACCAGTTCCGGTCTGTAGCGCTTCGGGGTAGGCAGGAATCCATGACTGTGCGCAGTTTCTGCCTGCGCTCGCTGCCGGAGTGCCCTGAGCCACCCAGCTTCAGGGCTAGCCACCTCCGTAGAAGGTGGCAAAGATAGGGGGGATCTGGCAGGGTTGAGAGATATCGCACCTCTCTTCTCTAGCCGGCTAAACCCCGCTTTCTGAAGGCAGCTGAGCGGCGGTCAGAAATGGCTGCCACATAGAAGTGCTCAGCCAGAAAAAGAAAGTGCAGGAGGAGTCGACAAGAAGTGAAAGGTTTTTTTGCTGACCAGGACAAAGCAACAACGAAAGTACCCTGGAACTTTAAATTTGTGAAAGACACATTGTTTCCAGAGATTTGCAAGTGGCGAATAGAAGTTAAAAGGGAAAGTTTTTCTTTTTTTTCACTGTCCTTCCTAACGTGACAGCGAATGGAAATGCAAGAGAAATCGGAAAAACCCACATTGGCACTAATAGGTAATTAAATGCTAAACGGATAAGGATTTCTGAATATTTTAAAAAAATCTTTTTTGCTGTAAGTGGGAAGGGAGAGGAAAAGAATTGGAGCAGGATTTGGAAGTAAGGAGGAGATTGCCTAGAACCTCAAAGAATTATTAAATACTAACAAGACTTCTAAAAGATACATTTTAACTGGAACTTTGTAACTAAACAGTAACCCCAGAAAGAGAAAGTGAAGAAAGAAGAAAGTGCTAAAAGAAACAGCTTATTTGGATTGTTTGGTGACTTTGGGACTTTGGGGAATTATTTTTGACTAAGAACACTTGGGTGGTTGCTTTGGAAAAACTTTTTCTTTCTACAATGGCATCACTTGTGGATGAATTAAAAATTGAATATAAAAAATACAAAGAAGAACAAGAAGGGAAAGACTCTCTTGGCACTCTCTTTCAATTTTTAGAAATGGCGATTTGCACCTATGAGAAACTGACTGCGCAACAAGATGATTGGGACAAAGAAGAAGCCATCTTTGATGAACAAGTAACTTTATTTGGGGAAGAAAGGGAGAAAGAGGAAAAGAAAAAGGGGACTTTACTTGAAAAAACAACCAGAAAAGAGAAAAATAAGGTGAAAAGTGGATATAATGTTGGAAAACAACAGAAAGGGGGAAAGCAGAAGAAGAAAAGGGATGTGGAGAGACAAGGGGGTAAAAAGGGCAGGGAGAAGAACAAGCAAGGGAGGAAGGAAGGGATGATAAGCCTTGATGGTGGGGAGCAAGATGTAAAAAGCAAGATTTATTTAGAGATAATGGGTAAATTTAATTGAAAAAGGGGTTCTGCAAAGGCACATAAGATTTTATTCTTATATTGGTACTTAGAAATATTGTTAGAAAATTGGAAACAACATGTGATTAAAAATGGGATAAAATATTTAGTGTAACTTAGTGAATTTTTTGTGAATAAAAAGAAGGCAATGAAATAAACGAGAGAAGTGAAGTAGAAGGAAATGGGAACATTTTAATGATTCAATGATTTAAATACAATGATTTAAAATATGTGATGTGGGGGGGAAATAACTACTGAAGGTATAAGTGTTCCCATAAAAGTACGATATTCAGTTGAAAAGTGATGTCTAAAATGTTTAAGATATAAATGAATATTAATATTAATGATTAGATTTGATGATTAGCATTGATAGTTGTTTTAATTATATACCTATATATATTTTTTTCTTATAAAACATAATGTGTAATTTTAGAATGTACTAAATAGAATCCCAATGGAAGTCATGTATTATATTAAGTATTATCAATTTAGGGGAAAGAGTCAAAGGCGTCATACTCCAATCAGTGTACAGGAGAAGTTTTGTTTAAAGAGAAAAGAGAAATAGATAGCTGGAAACAGAACAGACAAAGAATAATAAATATTATGATTTGAACTGAGATGAGATAAATAAAATAAAACTAAGAAAGTTAAAAGAGGTGAGAAGCTAATGGAAAATGGAAAATGGTAATAAGATATGGAATGATATATAAAATGAACATGAATTTGAATTTGTGTCTGTACGAAGAGATGTAAGCCGGGATCAAGCAGCTTTCAGAAAAGATGTTTTATGTTTTTATGTTTTATGTTTTGTTTGTTTGTATATTGTCTTTGAAAATCAATAAAATTTGTTTTAAAAAAAAGAGGGGAGAAGCTATATAGAAAATGTAGAATGGTAAATAAGATATGAAATGGTATATAAAGTGAGCATGAATTTGATTTACGTCTGTACAAAAAGATGTAACCCGGGACTAAGCCGCTTTCCAAAAGGAAGTTTTATGTTTTCATATTTTGTGTTTTGTTTGTGTATGTTTGTTTATTGAAAATTAATTTAAAAATTATTTTTAAAAATGTGGCAGTAAAATAAGGTAACCCAGAAAGCAAACAGAGTAAAATTGGGGAGCAGGAAAATACGCACCTACTTCCCAGAAGAGCTGCACCCATCTTAGAAAAACCATGGGTAAAAAGCAACATTTTTAAGGCCCTCAAAACTCCACCAGGGGAAGGCCACTTGGATCACTTGTTGTATCTCTGACTATAATTGTTGCAGGTGGTGGACACTGCAGTGAGATCCCCCAACATTATGAACTGATGCCAGAATTGCAGTAAAATAGAAAGTTTTTATAATCAGAGTAGTATTATTAATAAAAGCAATGTACTTAGGAGAGCTCTCCTTCCATTCAGCCATGACAGACAGTGAGGAGAAATATTCATCATGGTTGTATCTGTCCTTACAGGTCTTTTGGTACACACTTTTATAATCCCAGGCTATAGAAATCTAATATATAGATCTAATATGCAAAATAAACAATGAATATTAAACACAGATCATATTTTAATATCTAGAGCTTGTTCAATATAAATTTCCTAAAATACTACTTTGGGTTACTGACTGTGTTTGTAATGCTTTTATATGACTAGAAATGTATCTAATGAAAACAGAAGGTAGAGTTTAGTTATATATGTTTAGATACTGGCTTACACCACATTTTTCTTGTAGATTTGATACAAACAGATAGTTTTCAATTCAAGTAGAAGTGATCCCTCATATTAAAACTGTTTTAACATCCAACAATTTTTCTACTGTAAAATGGTTGTGCCTACATACAACTATAAAGTGAATTTGAGTTACATAACATATAATTTCACAGTTACATAAGTGTCCTTTAGAAACTTAAACCATAAAACTGCTACCTTGTTTTTCCTTCAGTGGAAGCCAGAATATACTGTCTTTACTGGAATGGTGGCATGGAGTTGCATGATAATAATCTGTGATGTGATCTCGATCTAATGAAAAAGGAAAAAATATCTTACATTTCAATGTCAAGGAGGAGAATTTGTTAAAGTTTGAAATGATCAAAGTCTATTTTAATGTTCTTCAAAATATTCCTTGGAACAGAAACTGACAGTTTGTTAAAAGGTCTTTTTGCATTTTAATTTATACATTGCATGCAAAAAACTATGAATATTCATAGAAACATACTAAAATTATTTGAAATAATGTATAAATAATTTCTGCTGTTTCCTACCCTCCCTAAAAAGATATATTTTGGAAAAGGGTTGAGTTAGAGGCTTGCTATTTAAAACAATGCTTACATAGTTTAAAATAAATTATCTTCACTGAAAACATAATCAGAGTAAGATTTACTTTTAGTAGTTCTTTATTTTATAATCTTTATTTGCAATAAATTTTCTGAAGATTTGTAATGTTCTCCTGATTTAACAAATCTCTGAATAGAGTTTGATGATAAAATGGTTTTTAAATATCATATTAAGACAGGACATAAAATATATTAATTTTAGAGAAATAATGATACAAATTTTATAGATAGTGAAATATGTGGTATTATCAAGAGAAAGAACAAGGAAGTGTGAAAAGCCAAATCATAAGGATCATCTATCAGTCACAAAGTCATATTTGCCAAGAAACCTTGTCTCGCTTGGAACAAAACCACAAGCTAGGGAGTTTAGCAAGATGGGTTCGTGACATCCAGCCATCCTAGCCTAGCAACAGGGGAGGGGGAAAGCTGTGTTTCAAGTAACCAAGGAATGACTGACAAGTTATATTTCTGTATTTTGCCCCTTCTGAAGAAGTATATAGGCATGTGCTGTTCTATAAGAAATTTATTCAGAAGTGGCACTGGCTAATTTCCTGCAACATTTATGGTGATTCCACTGGGACTCAGAGTGATATTTCGCTGAAGACAGCACGGACTGACCGGTGCCCAGCCGGGGCCGTCTCGCTGACCCTTCAGCTGGCACAGATGATTTGTCAGGAAGGGGCAGACAGCACGGTAGGGGTGTCTGGTGGACAACCAACCAATACAAAAACCTAAATGGAATCAAAAATAAGTCATGAAATAACACCAGCTGGAAAAAAGACGCCTGCAGGCAAGTATAAGTATTGGGGAATTGTAGACCCACTCGTTTGAGAGTGGAAGAGGGGGCTGGGATCAGTGAATCCTAATGAGGCCCTAGTATTGGGTGGGTGGTTAAGCCATTGCAGTTCCTGTTTGTGACCACTGGAACATCCGGCATCACAGGTCAGTGGCAGTGTCTAGAAATGGGTGGTGGAGGAAGTGTCCTCTGGACACCTCTTCAGTGTATACTGAGGAATTTTTAAAAGGGAAGCCCGAAGGCAGTTTTAATCTAGACATCATTTCAAAAGTACACCAGATTGTTACTGACCCAGATAATGGTCACACAGATCAATACCAGTATACTGACCAGTGGCAAGTAGTAGTAAAACAGAATCCTGAATGGCTTCGCAAATGCTGAGTTGAACTCATGAGGGTCTGCATGACCCAAATTAATAGAAATCCCAGATCTCAGATCAAGGCGAGTCAGATTAAAATCAAACCTATCTTGAAAATTGAACCCTATGAAGAAGATAATCTCCTCTCCGCCCCCCCAATGTTGATAATGGCAATAATCAAGTTCCCAGGGCAGGAGTGCAGGGAATACAAAAGGAAATGCCAAAAACAGATCAAGGGGTTAGGCCTAAGGAACCTCTTCAGCCCCCCCTGAACCCTTGGTCTGAATGAAGATAGGGGGCATCTAGATTTGTAGTTACTAAGTTGTTGGCTCTCCTTTTCTGCTGATGTTATAAATATGCAAGGGGTTGATGGCTTTGTAAATTGCCACCCTTTTCTAAAGCCCCTGAGATGTTCTCTGAATAGAAGAGACATTGAACATCAATTCCAATACATGCCTGAGTGTCCCATTCCCTTATTGGGCTGGGACATGTTATGCAAAATGGGGGCAACTTTGTCATTTGAGGAAGATAAAATGGCACTAGTCATGAGGCATTCTCCAAATGAGATGTGGCAAGTAATGGTGGCCCAAGAGGTTTGAGTCCTTGATACTTGGCAGGAGTTTGATGTGCACCAATTATAGGCAAAAGGTAATCCACCAGGATATGCAGTGCACCATATACCGCTAGTCATTCAAGTGAAGCCTCTGGCAGTACCTGTTTGTCTCCAGTGGAGAAGTTACCCTCACTCCATTGCACAAGCAATTCAAGACAAAGAGGAGGGCCAGTTACACAGGTTAGGGAATCTCGACAAGAATGGGGAATTCTTGTAGTTGTTGCAGCTAACTTTCTTGCTGCAGGAGGTAGAGCGAACCCTTAGGGATGACTCTAACACATAAGGGCGTGAAAATACCCTTTAGAGCAGTTATTGAGCCAGTGGAGTGAGGAAAACCTACTCCCCTGGACTAAAAGTTTAAGTAAGAACAGAATGATAAATTTGTGCATTGAAAAATGGCAAAATACATAATTGAGGAACCACAATACAGGTAGGATCATCTAGGGGAAACAAGCAAATGTTGGTTGGGTAAATTAGAACAATACTTAATCAAGAGACCTACCTTAAAAAAAATTGAAATACCGTATCTTAAACCCTGGTATTTTGTAAATTGGGAAATACCTGAGCCCCCAGGAGATAGTAAAATGCTTTTGGCTAAAGAAGAAGAAATGTGAAACTCCTTAAGGACTGAGAAATAGATAAGGTTGGTGTTATATTTGGAAACAGGCATAGGAGTGTCTATCTGGAACTGGAAAGATTAGGGCCATGTTCTCCATGGAGACCATGGGGACACGTTAAACAGTAAAAGTTGTCTTTAAAAAGAAAAGTGGAGTTCAAACTTGCTCATGAGAGCCCTGGCCAGGTGAAAACAAGGTGTCAAAGAAGGTCTCTATAGATCTTGATCTTTAAAAATAAGCCAGCATTGTCTGGGAGGTCTAAGATAAGATAGAGAACAATTTGGATCTTTAAAAATAAGCCAGTGTCATCTGGGAGATCCAAACTAGAAAGATAAGGGACAGAACACCCAGGGCAGAGACAGGTAGTAAAAATCTAGTGCTTAACAATGAGTGTAACTTCAAGTAAAAGTGACAAGTTCACTAAAGCAATAAGAAAGAAAGCCCAATTAGTGAAACCCCAAGTTAAATACTTAGGTATAAGTCAAGGCCACAGAGCTATAGGACATAAGAAAAAGGAAGCTGTGTGCCGAATTACGGAACCAATTGACAGGAGTTTTTTTAAGCGGCAGGCTATTGTAGAAATTTTGCCCTGCTAGCCAAACCACTCTTATGAGTCCACAAAGTGGGGAGAAAGGGAACCCTTTGTTTGGACATGAAAACAAAAACAGGCTTGAGATTTAAAAAAAAATAGCATCTCAAGCTCCTGTTATAGGACTTAAGAAATCTTTCAATTTGTATGTACTTTGAGAAATCTTTCAATTTGTATGTGGACTCAAAGAATAATATGGCTCTTGTAGTCCTGACTCAAGAAAAAGGGAAGTGGCAACAACCCATTGCTAAAGAAAGAAAAAGTGGAGATTTAAAGGGACAAAACCTCCCCAAGTCTGGAAATGTTGTGTGTGTGAATGTGTCTGTGTGTAATCATTTCCAAACCTGGAGGATGAGACCCTCTAACAACAGTAAAAAAAATTGAACTCATTGGCTTGTGAGAAAAAGCTCTCAGAAAAGAATTGTAAGTAATGATTGATCTGCTTGGAGAAAGAATGAAATGAATTTTTTGTGTGAGAAATTGGTTATGTAAGCAGTCTGATTACAGTATAAATGTGTGAGTATGTTGATGATGAAGAAAAAAAACATTGGTGTAAATGTCTGTGTGTTGACCCCCATCCCAGATTAAAAGGAGAGTACTTTCATATAAAGAAATTGCATGTATGAGGAAATGAGAAAGGTCTCAAGGAGAAATGTGTGTGATTTACTAAAGCTAGAGAGAGGAAGAAACAAAAAAATTAGATGATAGAAGAATAGGGATGTCAGGAGTCATTGCATCGGAGGTGCCACCAAGAACACTGGATAAAATTGCAAGTGAGACCAAGAAATTGTGGAATTAAATTTTTAGTGGATACTTGGGCATCCTGGACATCTTGAAGCATAATCCCTCTGGGATGCCACATTAGCCAGAATTCGAATTTCAAAATCAAGAAATAAAAATCAACCCATGCCACATCAAAAACTAAATTACAGTATGTAGAGAGAGAGATCAAATACACCTTATTAGTGAAGGGAGTAGAAAAATAACTCCTGCTAGAATTGAGGAACTAAGAGAGACTTGAGAAAGGTTTTGGGACTGTTAGGCTATTGTACAATTAAGTTCAGCTGACCTAGAAGCTATAGAAAAATTAAAAACAGCACTTAAAACAGCTCCAGTTCTCTCACTACCTCATGGGAAAAAACCTTTCCACTTATTTGTAACAGTCTGTGATAGAGTAACAAAAAAGGTTCTTAGCTCAAAAATGGGGAAGTCTCTTAAAACCAGTAGCCTTCCTATCCAAATTAATTGGGGAGGCCAGTATGTATTCAAGCTATTGCTGCCACAGTTCTCTTAGTACAAGAAAGAAGAAACATCACATTTGGGGAGGGGGCTTTGGTGGTTACAACCCAACATCAGATCAGGAACATCCTGCCTCAGAGATGGTTAACCAATTCTCATATCCTAAAGTATGAGGGGATCCTCATAGAAGACCCTAATTTGGTACTCTCCACAAGCAATCATGTGAACCTTGCTCAATTATTGATGAGAGAGGGAATAAGCGAAGGAGACCAGCATGATTGTGTAGCACTGCTTTATAGATGGAAGTGCCAAAGTAGTGGAAGGAGAGATGAGATGTTGTTGGGGATCCCATGCTATGGGAAGGAGGGTTTGCCTAGAACTGACTTAACAGACAAAATTGTGAGAAAATATATTCTTGAATTGTCCCAGTCTCTCTTTTAAGACAGAAAGGGGTCCTTGCACAAACACCAACTTAGACTTTGTTGTACATAAATTTAAAAATTTTATTTTTGATAAAATCCTGAAAGGAAGAAACTGTACATTCCTTTTCTATTTAGGACTGAGTGGTTGCTGATGTTATTTCCCCAACATAAAATAACAACCACAGAACAAATCCCACTGCTAAATTTACCTGATGTGCTGGTCTTATAATTGTCTTGAGACTGGTGTAAATACTGAATGTTTGGATGGTGGAAGTTGGGAAATTACATTGAGTGAGGAACTTTGTATCAAACTTTTAATGGGACAAAAGTGGCCTAAGAACATGTGAACAATTTAGGAACCTTAAAAAAGCAACACGACCACCGGGGGGGCAGAGCTGGCATCTCGGCGATACAGTGTGCGATCTTGAATCTCCAAGATCGCCGCTTATATCTCCATTGCAGGACGGTCCCACTGGACCTAAACCATCCTGTAGAGATGGTGACTGAGGAGGGCAAATCCTGTTGATCCCAGGGACATTGCAAAGTCCCTGGTTGATCCAGGAAAAGCCCTTTTGCCTCCAGCAGAGAAGCATCCATTTAAACTGCTGAAGCTGGGACAGCTCCAGAATGGAAGAGATTGAAAGAAAGTGTGGCAGTTTGGTGAGATGAACTTCTACTTATTTCTTGAAGAGAACACCCTGAAAGACTTAAAGTGAATTAAAAGTGAAGAGAAAAGAGTTTAAGCGGCAAAATTAAGCTAGTTAAAGTGAAAGTTTTTTTCCCCCTTTTCATTGAAACTTAGAACTTTGCAAAGCTTCTTAATTTTAAACTGGACTGGACCTTTTTAAAATTTTTTATTCTTGATTGTATTTTCTTAACAATTTTTTGAAAGTCTGTTTTGACCAAGACTTCTTTTTGATGAGATTTATTTCCTTTTTAAAAGAAAGGATTTTATTTTTTTCCTTTTGTTCCTGGCATTGGTTACATGAGGGGGGAGTGAAAGTGAAGGAAAAAAAGTAGCACTGCCATTTAGAGGCTTGTTGTTGTTTCTTTGTTTCTTTTTCTTCTATTTGTTTATGCATCTGTGTTATACTCCAGAACTCTGAGTTTTGCACTGGAAAAGATAGTGGGATGAGCATGGCAGATTATTTACACAGGTGTGCATCTGTGAAAATATAATTAGAGTCTGGAGTTGAAGTTGAAAGAAAGAAGATTGAAGTGACCTTGAAAATACTGGAACTAGAAACTTTTGAGTTGATTTATCTAACAGCCTTGGGTACTCAGTGGCAGTGGCTGGCTTCACATTAGAACTGTTTGTTACTTTTCACTCCCTCTTTTACTTCTCCTTCAGTTGGATTTTTATATTTGGATTTCAACCTTTTATTCCAGGAATTAGAATGGAAATTCTTTATTTTTTTGCTCTCTTCCTTTTTTCCTTCTTATTAAGAGAAATAATTGGATTAAGGTATACAAGTGCCTGAAGATTTTTTTTTCCCTTTTTATTTTTTGGAGTGACAATTGCCTGCCTGTGCTCCTTTTTTCCCTTTTCTCCTTTTTCTCTTTCTTTCTTTACAGGTAAGTACCACAAGATGAGCAGAGAGACAACAGCCCCAGCTTCCTCAATACCAGTAGTCTCTTCACCATCTGGAGGACAACGGTCAATACAGACAGTTTTACAACAGGAGAAAGAGAAGGAAGTGACATTACAGATGATTATGCAAGGAATTAAAAAGATTGAAAAGAGAATGGAGAACATTGAACAAAGAACTGAAAAGACAGACGAGAAAGTAGAAAATATTCAACAGATGATGAAATATGAAGACAGATTTTTAAAAATTGAAGAAAATACACAAAGAGACAAGAAAATTGAAGATATTGATACTCGATTGAGCAATGTTGAGAAGGGCAGGTGTGAACCATTAGGATGGGAAATTGATGAATTCTACCTAAGATTTCAAAATGTAGAAGAAGGAAAAGGCGAAAATCTTGCTGAAATAATGACAGAAATACTGGCAGAAGCGTTAGAGATAACCAAAGAGAAGATGATGGATGTGATGGATGAAGTGTTCTGTGTCTATACAAGATATGTAATGAGAAACAGACTACCAAGAGAAGTTCATATCAGATTCACTAAAAGGATTGTCAAGACACAGATAATGCAGGTGGCAAGAGAGAAAACACTAAAACATAAAGACAAAGAAATTGTGGTGCTGAAACAGATACCAAGAAGAGTAAGAGAGATGAGAAGATAATATTTATTCTTGACTAAAGAGTTACTTAAAAGAGTAAGCTACTGATGGTTGATGCCAGAAGGCCTCTTGTTCACTTGGCAGGAACAAAGACACAGAATTGACACAGTTGAAAAAGCTGAGCTATTCTACTTAGAATACTTTAGAGGAAAGGAGGAAGAAGCAAGAAAGGAAGAGTCATTAACTGAATTCCAAGAGGAGTGTATAGCAGTAATTGAAAAAGAAGAAGGTGCAGTAGGCAGTGTACCCAGAGAGCAACGAGAATTAAGATCTACTAGAGCAATAAAAACCCCTTATAAAGCTTAACATGGATGAAAGAAAATTGATTATGATTAACATAAATGGACTTAGTTTGGCTACTAAAAGAAGGAAAGTACTTCACAAATTAGAGAAATTAAAATTTGATATAACCTGCTTACAAGAAGTAGATATTAAAAAACAATATGAATATATATTAAAGCAAAAAAAAAAAATAGGGAAATTATTTACGTCACTGGCACAATCTAAAAAAAGGGGTGTGGTATTATATATTAAAGACACAATTTTGGCAGAACTAATCTATACAATGGAAGGATTTTGATGGTGGAAATAATGGACAATAATGTTAAAACACTTTTAATTGCAATTTATGCGCCAAATGATAACCAAGAAGAATTTTACAGGAAATTACATATGAAAATAATTGAATTGGACTATGTTAATATTTCTAGATGGGAGATTTCAATGGAATAATCAATGACCGGTTGGACTATATAACGCAGAAATCAACAAAGAAAGCTAGAAAGTTACTACCAAAATATTTCTTTCGAATGATAGAGGAAATAAATCTAAAAGATGCATGGAGAGAGAGAAATGTGGAAAATAAGCAATACACTTTTTACTCAACAGGCATGCATCATAGTCTAGAATAGACATGATATGGATGTCAGCAGAATTATTGGCTAACATACAAGATACTGAAATAGAAACAAGCACTTGGGCAGACCATAATCCAGTGACAGTTATTTGGAAAGGATACAAGAGGAGATCTAGATGAACTTTAAATAATACGATCTTAAAAGAAAAAGACTTTAAACAGAAAATAGAGAAAGAACTTGTTTTCTTCTTCAAAGAAAATAGAAAAGAGGATATATCTTTACAGAATCTCTGGGACACGATGAAGGCCTACACAAGAGGCTTGATAATAGACTATACAAGGAAAAGAAATATAAAACAGAAAAAGACTTTCAAAACATTGGAGGATGATTATAAAGAATTGGAAAAAGACCTACAGAAGACCTACAGAGATGCAAGCAACAGAAAGACAACAAGAAATTCAGGAAGAGGAGGAGCCAGCTGGAAGCATAATTAAAGAACCAGAATGGATGATACAACAAATAAAAATAAAAGGCAATAAGGAAATAGAATTCAATATGATAATGATTGAGGCAATAAAACAAGGGAGGGGGTGTTTTAAGAGGAAAACATGCTTAGAGAATAAGGATAGAACTAAATAGTTGGGAAAAGAGAAAATGGAATCTAATAGAGAAGAGAGGAATGAGTAAGGGGAAAAATAGAAAATGGGAGACAAGCTAGAAAGCGATGAATTACTTCTTTAATGGAAA